TGACACATGTGTGTTGCATATGTGGGGGATGGGTGTGAGGAGACTGAGGTACTGGGTAGCAGGTGGGGGGCAATGGGGAAGATTGGAGCTCTCTATTCCTACATATTTTTTCTGCTGATCCTGCTTGTCCTTGGGGGCTTCATATTTCTCAAAGATTATAGAGGTTTTCATGTTCCAGTGGCAAATCCTCAGCCTCCCATTCCCACCCCTCCCTTGTGAACTGTGGCCCTGCTTTTTACTTGCATATCTCTTCCCTGTTACACTGTCTCATCACTGTGATACCAGTTCCTTGTCTCCGTACCCCTTATTACTTAAGCCTCCATCTTTGGCCCTTCTCAGGTATCTACTGCTGCCTCTGCACTATCCTTGGATTTGCAAGAAGTGGAACCTCTGGGGCTACCCCAGGCCTCTCCCAGTCGCACCCGTTCCCCTGATGTGATCTCTTCAGCTTCCACTGCCCTGTCCCAGGACATCCCTGAAATTGCATCTGAGGCCTTGTCCCGTGGCTTTGGCTCCTCTGTTCCTGAGGGCCTCATTGAGCCAGACAGTATGGCCTCAGCTGCTTCAGCACTACACTTACTGTCTCCTCGGCCCAGGCAAGGCCCTGAGCTTGGCTCTCAGCTTGGCCTAGATGGAGGCCCTGGGGATGGGGATCGGCATAATACCCCCTCCCTACTGGAAGCAGCCTTGACCCAGGAGGTTGCAACCCCTGACAGTCAAGTCTGGCCTACAGCACCTGACATTACTCGTGAGACTTGTAGTACCTTGGCAGAAAGGTGAGATGATTAGAAGGGGGAAAGTATGCTTATGGGAGGGGCATTAGGATAATCCACTCTTAGTCAGTATGTTTTCTTAGCCCCAGGAACGGCCTTCAGGAAAAGCACAAAAGCCTGGCCTTCCACCGGCCACCTTATCACCTGCTGCAGCAACATGACAGTCAGGACACTAGTGCTGAGCAAAGGTGAGCACCATCTTGCTCTGGGCTTTTCCTCTGATAAAGGAGGGCCAGTCGGTGAGCAGGCACTTAGCCCGCCTCCCCTTCCACAGTGACCACGATGATGAGGTTGCTAGCCTTGCTTCTGCCTCAGGGGGTTTTGGCAGCAAAATTCCTACTCCACGGCTGCCTGCTAAGGATTGGAAGACCAAGGGATCTCCTCGGACTTCACCCAAACTCAAGAGGAAAAGCAAGAAGGATGATGGGTAGGAGGGTTCTGGGACTGGGGTCAGGGATGGTCTCCAAGCTGCTTGATGTGACCTTCAATGCTCCTTGCCTATGTAGGGATTCAGCTGTGGGATCCCGTCTCACAGAGCACCAGGTATGTAAGGGAGCACCTTTCTCCCTATGGGACCTACCCACGAGGATGGGAGGGACTATGAGCTATTCCTTTTCATGGTGGATGGAGATAGGAAGGACAGACATCCTGTAAGTTGTCAGTGTTTCTGGCAGGTAGCAGAGCCCCCTGAGGACTGGCCAGCATTAATCTGGCAGCAGCAAAGAGAGCTGGCAGAGCTATGGCACAACCAAGAAGAGCTGCTACAGCGTCTCTGTGCCCAACTTGAAGGCCTACAGAACACTGTCACTGACCATGTAGAACGTGCCCTGGAGACTCGGCATGAACAGGAGCGTATCCTTGGGGTAGTGGCACAGCATGGCAGTAGGGCAAGGCAGCATTCTTGCCTTAGAAAATGTATAAGTCCTGGTATAGGCCTGTTCCTTAGCTCTACAACAGAGCGGCGACTGGAACGGGCACTGGCTGAGGGGCAGCAACGGGGCGGGCAGCTGCAGGAGCAACTGACACAGCAGCTGTCCCAGGCATTGTCTTCAGCTGTGGCTGGGCGGCTAGAGCGCAGTATAAGGGATGAAATCAAGAAGACGGTTCCTCCATGTGAGTTTTTCATAAAATTTCTTTTGGGTGGGCCATGTGGGTGTAGGAAGCTTTTAAACTTCTTGTTCCATCTGTCTTTCTTAGGTGTCTCCAGAAGTCTGGAGCCTGTGGCGGGTCAATTAAGCAACTCCATGGCTACCAAACTTACAGCTGTAGAAGGCAGCATGAAAGAGAATATCTCTAAGCTACTCAAATCCAAGGTGATACAGGGTCCAAGATGGGAAGTGTGGTTAGGCAGGCCAGATTGAACTCAGGCTTTCAACTTGACCTCTCCTTATATTCTAGAACTTGACAGATGCCATTGCTCGAGCAGCTGCAGACACATTACAGGGACCAATGCAGGCTGCCTACCGGGAAGCCTTCCAGAGTGTGGTATTGCCAGCTTTTGAAAAGAGTTGCCAGGCTATGTTCCAGCAAATCAATGACAGCTTTAGGCTGGGCACACAGGAATGTGAGTGGTGTCATAAAACCCAAAGTAGTAAGAATGATTGTATTCTGCTGTCATCCCTTTTATGATCTCTGTTGTCAAACTTTAGATTTGCAGCAGCTAGAGAGTCACATGAAGAGCAGGAAGGCACGTGAACAGGAAGCTAGGGAGCCTGTGCTGGCCCAGCTTCGGGGCTTGGTCAGCACACTTCAGAGTGCCACTGAGCAGATGGCAGCCACTGTGTCTAGCAGTGTTCGGGCTGAGGTGCAACACCAGCTGCATGTGGCTGTGGGCAGGTGTGTGGGCAGGGTTCTGGGTCAGGTGGTAAGTTTTGGAAGGGCCAGAATGGGCTTCCCATCCACCTCATTGGCTCACTTCCCTTTGCAGCTTGCAGGAGTCAATTTTAGCACAAGTACAACGCATTGTTAAGGGTGAAGTAAGTGTGGCTCTTAAGGAGCAACAGGCCACTGTCACTTCCAGCATCATGCAGGCCATGCGTTCAGCTGCTGGCACACCTGTTCCTTCTGCCCACCTTGACTGCCAGGCCCAACAAGCCCATATCTTGCAGTTACTGCAGCAGGGCCACCTCAATCAGGCCTTCCAGCAGGTATGACAGTGTTTGGCCCTAATAATCCCCTGGCAAAGATGTCTCCTGACAAGGCCTACATATCATCTGCCCACTTCCCCACCAGGTTCTGGGCTGTCTGGCAGACTGGTTCCTTTTGGCTTTCCAAGCGACTACCCTATTACTCCCTCATGCTAGACAAATTTCTTCCTACCTCAGCCCACCTTTGCTCATGACCACCTTTCTCAGGAAAGCTTTGTAATCTGCATTTTTAAAGTAACTTTACAGTCCTATCAAGAGTTTTTGGAACCTTTAGAATCCAACTTTGGTCTTCTGCCCTTCAGCCAAACACCTTACATAAGCAAGCATTCCATTCTGGTGTTAGGTATAAATGAGCATGCTGCCTTGTTCTACTCCCAGGCACTGACAGCCGCTGATCTCAACCTGGTGCTGTATGTGTGTGAGACCGTGGACCCAGCCCAGGTTTTTGGGCAGCCGCCCTGTCCACTATCCCAGCCTGTACTCCTTTCCCTAATCCAGCAGCTGGCATCTGACCTTGGAACTAGAAGTGACCTCAAGCTCAGGTGAGTGGGGCAGTCAAGGAGCAGAAGATGAGCTATAGGAAGGGACAGAGTAAATAGTTCAAAGCAGATACCCACTCTTACCTGACTCCCATCCCTAATTTTTCTATCCATATTCTCCACCCCTCCCATATGAGGTTTAGAAACTGTCTTTGTTATTATCTCTCCGGGCTTCAGGGCCACTAGGGGGCACTCCTATCTTCTGGCATTCAGCTATGGCCTGTCCTTTCTCCCTATCCTCAGCTATTTGGAAGAGGCTGTGATGCACCTGGACCACAGTGATCCCATCACTCGAGACCACATGGGCTCTGTCATGGCCCAGGTGCGCCAGAAGCTCTTCCAGTTCCTGCAAGCTGATCCGCACAACTCTCTTGGCAAAGCTGCCCGTCGTCTCAGCCTAATGTTACATGGCCTTGCGACCCCTAGCCTCCCTTAGCTGATTAACAGAGATGGCATGACACTGAAGGCCAGTCTGCGGGCCCATGTCTGCTGTTTACCTGCCCAGGCCTCCCATCTCTAGTGTTTGGAGGGAGGTAGGGGGAGGATACACTAGCGGTGGTCTACTGATTGTGGTAACCAGCAGGGTTAGGCTGGGCCCAGGGCAGGTATTGTGCCTTCTTGGGTCCTGCCATGCCTGAAGCATGACCCCAAGATCGTGATACCACTTGAGTTGAATTTTCCATGTTCCTTTTTACCTCTAATTTGGATCTTTTTGTTTTTGAAAAACATTGAGAAATTCAATTAAAGACTTTTGGAATAAAATGGTTTGTGTATGGTTTTGATTTGTCGTTGATGTGACTAACTGTTCTCTTCTCCCTTTGGGGAAGTCTATCTAAAACCAACCCACCCTGGGGGTCCCCCTGCCTCCCATTCTCATCTGATAAACTAACTACTCATATCTCCCTTGTTCAATTCAGGCAAAGCTCCTAGAGCCAGCTCAGTATCAACATGTCTCCTCTCTAGGCAATTTTGCCCTCTGGGGTCCTTACTAGCTCCTCTGCCAATCTAGATCCTGGAGGCGGGGCTGACAGCGGAGATGAGGCCCCTCCTCCAGCTCCCATCCAATCAGGATCCCTTCCTCTGGGGGCTGGGCCCACAGGCAGCTCTCCAAGTCTGTAGCTCTTTCGCTAGGCTTATAGCCAGGGATGATGTGCTACTGCTGGCGCTGCTGCTGTCAGCGGCTGCCCTGTGCCCTGACACTGTTGCTGCTACTGCCACTTGGTGAGTGTGACCGTCCTGGGCCCAGGCTGCAGTCCTTCTCAGAGATCTTAGACTGGGCATAGGGTGTGGGAGCAGAGGGATTAGGGTAGAGAGCAACAGTAAGAGCACTAGGAAAGTGTGATGCAAACAGTTCAGCTGTGGGAGATCTTTTAAATTCCGTAGCCCCTCTTCTAACAAAGGGAGTTTGTGGCCCCTATTAGAACTCAGGCCATGGATCCCTGAGCTTAGAGTGACTGGCTTTGATCCTCACCCTGCCTGCTGAGCTTCAGCAGAGACACTTGTCTTTGGGGGAGGCAGTGGGAGTGCCAATTGAAGCTCATGAAAACTGCAGAAAGACTGTCTTCTGCCCATAACCTCATGCCTCCAGACCCTATATCCCTGAACCCCTATCTTTGACCTAGAGCCCCAGAAACTAGAGAAGGAACTGAGTGAGCTCTGGACCCAACACCCCCTTCCTGTTCCCACATCTCACCTTCATGTGCATCACAGTCCAGATCCTATCTTGAGAGTCAAGACAAGTGATCTCCAGATACCCTGAAGTTCCCTGGGGGCACCCCTTTGACGCTGAGTCATGTCCCCAGAGCACTACCAGGTAAACAAGGTCCTGAGAATGGACCCTGGCTCATTCTATCAACCATTCTCCATTCCCACCCCACTCCTAGTCTTTGTATCCCCTTTAGCTATGGCTTCTGAGGGCCCAAACCGTTGTGATTCCATATACCAAGGCTTTGCTGAGTGTCTCATCCGCCTGGGGGAGAGCATGGGCCGTGGACTCGAGCTACAAACTGTCTGCAGGTACCAGCAGGTGGGAGGCAATGGGCCGATGGGAGGCACCACCTAACAATCTGTGCCACTGGGGCAACAACCTCAGGAGCTTGAATCTCTTCCCACTCTAAAATCTTCATGGTCTGCCTAACTAACTCCCCTAACCACATTCTGTAACAGATCCTGGAATGACTTCCATGCCTGTGCCTCTCGGGTGCTGTCAGGCTGCCCAGAGGAGGCTGCTGCAGTGTGGGAGTCACTGCAGCAAGAAGCTCGCCGTGCCCCCCACCCAGATAACTTGCACATCCTCTGTGGCGCCCCTGTGAGTGTTCGGGAGATGGTTGCTGGTCCAGAGACCAATCAGGAGACACTCCGGGCCACAGCTCCTGCACTGACTCCAGCCCCAACCCCTGCATTACTTGCTGCTGCTCTGGCACTTGCCTGCCTCCTGGGGCCTCTGGCCTAAACAGTCTGGTTGGCTAGTCAACAGTGCCCTTGCCTCCCATCACTGAATGCAGTGGCCGCTGTGTGGGCTCTGCAGAGTGTGCATAATTTTCATTAAAGGTATTTATATTTGCACCAAGCTGGTTTCTTTCTCCTGGCTGTGGCCCTGTTAGCAAAGGCAGGGGCCCCACAGAAGCTGATCCCAGCATGGAATGGGCATGATTCAGAACCTCCACAAGGGACTCATTCATCCTTACAAACATTCATTTCATGGTGGCAGCATTGAGGTTTCTTTCCATTACTCTATAGATCTCAGGAGTACCTTGGGTCCCAAGAGCTCTAGTACAGACCCAAGATCTGCTGGAATGCACAGCCCTTCTCTGCCTTCTCAGTGTGACAGGGATGGGAGGCAGGGGACCAGTGGGGTACAGAACTCACCCCTCATGGCCAGTTGAGGTCTTTCTCAGGCTCCTTGCATTGTCCTGATGCCTTACCTGCACCTTACTCTGCCAAGCCCTCAGACTTATGCAGATCCAGGGCTTAATCTTCTCTTCTGAGGTCTGGACTAGTCTGTCCAAAGAGAAGACCACCCAGAAGCTACATCTAAGTCCACATTCAAACACCCGACAGGATCTAAAATTACACAAGTTGAAGCCATAATGGGTGGTCTGGCTTCTGCTCTCCAGAAACTTGTTCTTTGGAGTTTGCAGTGAGGAAACAAGATGAGTCAAAAAGGTGTTTTGGAAGCAATAAAATGAGAGAGTATGTGGGGCCAGAAGAACAGAGAAGGTTAACACTATGTTAACACTGTGTCTTGTATTTTTTGTTATTGTTAGATAGGGCCTTCTTTTGTAGCGCTGACTGGCCTGGAACTCACTATGTAGACCAGGCTGATCTCAAACTTGAAGTGATCCTCCTGCTGCTGCTTCCAAGGTTCTGGGATTACACGCATGTGCTGCTATTCTTAGTCTTAAACATTAAGACTTTTGTGGACATTGCCATAGCTTCCTCATGGGCTTCTATTATTCACTTCCTCTACTTTCTGGGTGGAGAAACTGATGCTGTGTTAAGCTCCTTCTGTCTTTAACTACAAGGCCCTGCATGAGCCAGCTCTGCCTACCCAGTCCTTGAGGATGGGAAATAGCATATGGGACACAATAGCTCATGTAGACAGCAGCCCTACGAGTGGTTCAGTAGGGCTGGGGAGCTCACTCAGAAATGTGCTTGACACTCAAGCATGAGGACCTCAGTTTGACTCCCACGGCCAATGTAAAAATCATGACGGTAGCATGCACTTGTAGCTCCTCCAGCCATAGCAAAGCAGAAACAAGTGGATGTCTGGGGCTTGCTGTGAGCTCCAGGCCACTAAGAGAGCCTACCTCAAAAAACAAGGTAGATGGCACCTAAGGAATGACACTCAGGCTTGATTTTGGTGAATGTACGCAGAAACACACATGGTGCGGGCCAGTGAGACAGGCGCTTGCCAACAAGCCATATGGTAGAATGAGAGATCTGACTCTGACAAGTTATCATTTGACCTCCACATAGGAAGTGTTGTATGTGTACACATGTACTTATGCATAAAGAAATAATAAGGTGACAGGTGGCTGTGATGCACACATTTCATCACAGCACTTGGGAGGCAGAAGCAGGTGGATCTCTGAGTTTGAGGCCTTCCTGATATACAGAGAAAGTTTCAGGTCTACCAGGGCTATACAGAGAAACCCTGTCTCAAAAAAACAAACCAAGCAAATAAAGTAATTGAAATCAAAATTTGCCATAAAAAGAAATGGTTCAAGAAAGGTGAGCTGATATGGAGAGATATTTAGTACCCTGTGGCTCTGAATATAAGTTTAATTAAAACTACCTCTAGTTAGACATAGATCTTGTTCTTTTCCCTGTTTCAGTAGAACACTGGTTTATAATTACCCAAGTCCCAGTGAAAATTCCCAAATGTGAACTTCTTAAAGGTAAGGGGTAGTTTTTGTGTCTCTAGCACCCAATCTAAGGATAAAGAGTACACTATGGATTTCTGGAGAGATGGCTCAGTGGTTAAGAGCACTGAATGCTCTTCCAGAGGACCTGGGTTCAATTCCCAGCACCCACATGGCAGCTCTCAACTGTGTATAACTCCAGCTCCAGGGAATCCAACACTCTTACACAGACATAGATGCAAGCAAAAGACCAATGTACATAAAATAAAAATAAATTATAAAAAAAGAGTGCACTATGGAGTATATAGAATGGAAGAATCAATACCGTCAACATAGGCATCGTTATAATCAACAAGACCTTGGACTGAGAATAAATCCAGTGCAGGGGGATATGCCATATTGGGACATCTTTCTCAGTCTGGGCATACAGTTGGGATGGGGGATGGTGATTGACTAGGGTGTCAGATCCTAAAAGTTTTCTAGACCCAATAAATGTCAGGAGTAGCATGCTTGTCTGAGCAGGGCTGGCTGCTCTGCCCAGCCATTGTTGGGTATTACCATCCTGCAGTGACCTATTTTTACCCTGATATTTTACTGCCTAAGTCCTTACTCTTCCATGGGCTGGGTTGGGAGGATGAGTGGGGGAAGAATTTGCTCTCTGGTCAGGGGCTTAAAGGCTTTATGGGTTTTATCTCAGAGCTAGAGCAGAGGGGTGGGAAGATAGCCAAGATGCTGGGGACTGGGCACAGATGCCTAGGCCTGAGTATTACAGTGACAGTGTTCTACAGCTGTAGGTCTGCAGGCAAAGTATAATTTGTTGTGCAGATATTCTGGGTCCAGTTGCCATCACACCAGCACACTTCGATGCCAGGCCTGTGTTTTGCCTTAGAGCCCAAATCATGGTGCACCTGAATATTTGAATAAATATTTATTTGCCAAACATCTGTCAAATGAAAGTGTATAGATTTCTGAGTGTCAACCACCCTGGAATTCTATGTATATATTTGTTTTTACTTTCTGTGAGGCTGGGATTATGATTATCATGGGGTTTTGTTTTGATTTCTGATTCTTTCAGACAAGGTTTCTCTTCGTAGTCCTGGCTGTTCTGGAACTCCCTCTGTAGACTAGGCAGGTCTCAAACTTAGAGATCAGCCTACCTCTGCCTATTGAGTGATGGGATTAAAGGTGTGCACTACCACAGAGTGGACAAATAGGTTTATAGTCATTACAAGGATAGGAAAACAGTATGTAAACTAGTGTGAGGGAGATGTCTTCCCTAAGAACTCACACACTGCACTCAAGAGGCAGAGGCAGGTGGATCTCTGTGAGTTCCAGGCCAGCCTGGTCTCCAGAGCGAGTGCCCCCCCCAAAAAAAAAAAAAAAACTCACACACTGTGGAAATGTCGGGACTGAGATTTGATCCCAGGTTTGGTTTTGTTTTTTGTTTTTTGTTTTTTTAGACAAGGTCTCACTGTGCAGCAGCTCTGGCTATTCTGTTTCTATATAAATCATGCTGGCCTTGAAACCTCTGAACATCCACCTGCTTCTGCTCTCCAAAGTATTGGGACTAAAGGTGTGCACCATGCCAGGTTAAAGTCCTTGTTTTAAGTAATTCCACTACACTTTGGGAAAGAATTTTCATTGTGGCTGTTTTAAAATAAGTTCTCAATTTATATTCCAAACTGTTCTAAAATTCATATAGCCTAGGTATTCTTGACCTCTCACTGCAATATTCCTTTAGATTCTTGAAAGCTAGGATTACAGGTGTGTGTTAACAAACTGGTAATTTTTTTTTTTTTTTTTTTGAGACAGGACATCAGCATGTAGCCCAGACTAGCCTCAAACTCAAGACTTTCTTGCTGCTGCTTCCAAACTACTGGGATTACAGGCTACAAGCTACAAGTACCAACCACTAGGCTTTGAAACTTTTTTTTTTTTTTTTTTTTTTTTTGAGACAGTATTTCCCTGCGCAGCTCTGGCTGTCTTGGAACTTTTGTAGTCAGGCTGGCATCGAACTCAGAGATCCATCTGCCTGTGCCTCCCGATTGCTGGAATAAAAAGACGTGTCTTGCTCAGCAATCGGGAGGCCCAGATTGCTGAGGATCTTTTAAAAATCTTCCTTTAGAGCCAGGCGGTGGTGGTGCACGCCTTTAATATTTCTTTAAGGCTTGGTCTGCAGAGCGAATTCCAGGACAGCCAGGGCTACACAGAGAAACCTTGTCTGGTGGAGGTGCTGGGGGGGTGGGGGTGAATAACCCAAGACTGTCTAGAAGTTGGTCCAAAGCTGACTTCACCAAAACTCAGAAATTAACTGCCGTATTTAACATATTTGATTGTACGAAATTGTTTCAATCGCAATTTTAAAAATAGATTTTTAAGACTAGCGTGCAATCCAGCATTCCGGAGGCTGATGGAGGAGGATTTCCGAGAGTTCAAGTCCAGCCTGGACTATATAGTCCTGGCCAGCCAGAGAGAGAATTAGATCGAATTTCAAAAGAAACAGTACCAATAGATTTAAGTAAAGAAACCTAGTCATCTGCGAAGATCCAGAGGCATTTCGAGAAACCTCTGTGCTCGCTGTGCTCTCCTAGCCCTTCAAGAAGATTCCCTTCATCCATATAAGCTTGACCTTCTCTCGGTCTTTACGTCTCCCAGCACTCTTCACTCCCGCAGCCCGCTCCCCAGCGGCTTCGAGTCACAAGTGGACCCGCCCCTCCACGCCCGTCTCCGCCCTAAAGACGTTGATTGGCAGGCCCTCAGAGGACGCCCGCCGCGTACACAGCCTGGAGGGTCCGCCTTCGTCCCTCCCTGTAGGCCGACCAAGTTTGTTTTGGCGTCTGGCGCGCTCAGTAATGACGCCACGACGCTGACGCGAGAGGATGGCGGCGGGGGCCGGGGGCCGGGCG